GGGCGAGGCTATAGAACCCACGCGGGGCGAGGGTCTCAGAGGCACGGGCCTTTGCGGACCTGCTCGTCCCCCCCAAAATAAGAGCCCCACTCGCTGTGCCCACGCCCCCCGCAGCTCCGGGGGTGCTGTGCGGAGCCACACCCTCCGCGTCTGTCTTCCTGCCGCCCAAACTGAGCCTGGGGGAGGGCTGGCCAGGAGCCCGGAAGGAAACAGAGCCCCCAGTGTGGCTGGGGAAGCACGTGGACGGGGCAGGACGCGACCTCCCAGAGCTCCCAGCTGTGTGATGAGGGTAGTCACTCCACCCCTCAAAACCCTGTGCGGGGGGGTGGGGGGGCGGGGAAGGCGGGAAATGGTTCCCGTGGACCCCACCTCTATTTCTGAGGTCGTGGAGTCCAGAGAGGGAGAACAAGCCAAACCCACCTCGCCCACCCGACGCCGATTCAAAGCGATCCCGGGGGTGGGGGGGGGGGTGGTTCTGATACTGGGAATCTCCACCGCCGACAGGGAAGAGGGGACTCTTCCCAACCGTGGGAGAAAAGACTTGCTACTCCCTTAACGAGTTCCGGTCTCGGAAACGCACGGGGACAGTCCCACAGGGTGGTCAGCATCGAATTCGATGGCAGTGAGTTTGGCTTGGTGAAGCTCGAAGTTGTAGTCCCGCGCGAAACGAGTGACCTGGGCGAGCTCTAGGCCTCTCTTCTGGTCTCGAGCCACCTCTGCGGATCCCGGGGATATGGAGTGGAAAGGAACTGTCAGGCCAGCCCGGTGGTGCGGCCCCGCCCCCGCCCCAGTCCCCTTCCGGCCTGCGGGAGTCTATCTCCTTCCTAAGGCGGCCGTAGCCCTGGCAGCTGGAGGTGGGACAGCAGGGAGACCTTCCTTTGAAAGTGGCGCCTGAGGAAGCCTCCTCTCCACTGGGAGGGAGCAAGACGCAAATCCCCTGAGGGCAGACAGGGAGCTAACTAGCACCTGAGCCTCTGGGGGTGAAGTGGGAGGGGAAAGTCAGCTGGCCCACCCACTCCAGCCCCTGAGGTTTTCCGAACCAACCTGCTGCTGCTGTGTAAATTCCCAAAGGTGTCGACTGTGCCCCATGGGATTTCCAGGGACCGATCTTCCCGAAGTAGATCGCCAGTGCTTTCTTCTGAGGCACTTGGGCGTGCATTGGAATCCCCAATCGTTCAGGTAGCAGCCATGTGCGTTAACCAGGTACACCACCCAGGGATGCGGGAGTCTTCAGGGGCCCACCAACTATCAGATTCTAACTTTGTAACATGGGAAAACTGAGGCCCACAGCCGAGCCTTGGGCAGGTGGAATGAGAGTCGAGTGTTAGAATCACAGACTGACTCTTAGGGACTGGAGTTTCAGACCCAGCCCAGTCCCTGCCCTCTTGGGTACCCCTCCTGTTCCTTTTTTCCAGCTACACCAGGGAACCCCAGAATGCTGGGCCTGGCCCAGTGCAGCTACGTGGCAAGAAGCCTTCACCCAGCTCTAGGTAGAAGGGCAGGAAGGAGGGTGCGTCTGATGGCTTCCTGCGTTCTTCAGTGAGAGGGTGGGAGGCAAAAAGAAGGAGCCTTGCCAGCTCCGCCCTGAATTTGGAGAATGTGGGGCCGGGATTCTAAGCCGTCTCCCCAGCGACTCTGGGGCCCCGGAATGCATCTGGGAACCGGAAGCCCAGCCAGCAAGAATGCAGTGTCTCAGCACAGGCTTTGTGTGTGGTTCAAAAGCAAGCAAGCAAGCAAGCAAGCAAGCAAGCAAGCGGCGCGCACGTGCACACACACACACACACACACACACACACACACACACCTCTGGCCCCCACGCCCCTGTGCAGATGAGCTCAGCTGAGCCCAGAGCTGCCAGTCAGTGTGGGAACCCACCACAGGGGCCTCCGAGCCTCCCTGCCACACCTCCTGCTGCCCTTTGCCACCCAGAAGGCTGGGGCCCCCAGCATGATCTCCTGGGCCCATTGATTGAGTTTTCACCAGCTGATTGAAATCCAGTGACCACAGCTTCATTTCCACCTGCAGGCAGCTCCATGTGTGTCATTGTAGACCTGAGCCCCGAGGGTGTTCAGTGTCTGACTTTTCCAAAGTAGATGGCCAAATCTACCTTCCCAGGCACCGCTGGGTGGATTCAAATCACCAGCCTTTTGGTCAGCAGCCTTGTGTTTAACCTTTTGTGTCACCCAGAGTGGAGTCAGGAATTGTTGCTGAGTGGTGCTTGGAGGAATGGGAAGGGGAGCAGCCACGCCCTTGCTGCCCAGTTCCCGTGAGTAAGAAGTGAGCAGCCACCTTGAATCTGGGAGACACAGTGGCTTGGCTGAGTCATGCCTTCAGCTGAAGCCAAAGATGCCCGGCTGCTTTACAGCCTCCTTGGGGAAGTCCCAGCTTCAGGAAGCACATTTCCTGCAAGCTGGGCGGCGGCGCCAGGGCCAGGCAAGCCCTGGGGAAGGAAGAGCAAAGCCAGAGAGCCAGAGGCAGCTCCTGCCAGGCTGCGGAGGGCTGGGAGAGCCCTGGGAGCTCCTGGAGCTGCCTCATCATCCCTGGGGGCTGCTTCTGGGCCCAGAGGGGCGAGAGCAGCCCCTGGGCAAGATGGAAACAGGGAGGCAAGCTCCTGGGCCCCGTTCTCAGCTGCTTGCCTTTCTCTCCAGCACAGGTGCCCTGGAACAAGTGACTTAACTTCCCTGTGTCTGTGTCTTCTTTTACAAAGCAAGGATGATAACAACCCCTCCTCAGGGTTGTGAGGATCAAATGAGCTAAAACACTTAAAAGGACCACCCCCAGCACTTCAAAACTGCTCTAAAATGTAAACCACTGTTATTATCTACTTGTGTAACTTTGGGAAAGCCTCTCCCTACCTCTAACTTAAAAAGCGAACCACCCAACCATCAGCTGTCAAGTTGATTCCAACTGGTGCAACTCTGGGTGTCGGTCAGAATAGAACCCATGGGGTGTTCGGCAGTTGACAGTTTGAGAAGGGATCACCAGGACCTTCTTCCAAGGTGCTTCTGGGTAGATGTGAATTACCCACCTTTTAGTGTTTCACTAGTTGAAGAGCCATGGATTAGTTGCTCTCTCTGGCCACTTCTAACTTGAACCTGGCATCACCTTGGAGGTATTCCCCCACACGTCAAAAGAAGGGGACACTGGATCTGCTACACTGCCAGACACCAACCTGCAGTCTCTTGCCTCCTATCCCTAACCCCTGCTCCTCAACACCCCCGCCTCCCAAACACACACACACACACAGCTGGCCTGGCACAAGGTTGAAGGCAGGGATAGGAGACCATAGACTGTCCCAAACTTTCTCTGCTGACAAACTGGTTTGGCTAATGCCTTCATCTTCCAAAGATGCTCACTCCCGAGTTCAGCTGAGGTGGCAGGCTTATGCTGGGTTCCGGGCAGGTGGGGGCCCTGTGGGGAGCTGTGGCCACCACAACTGAGGCACCTAGAGCACATTCAGAACGCACTGTGTCTGCAAGGCGGCCCATCGGCTCCTCCACCTCTGCCAGGCCTGTGGGTTGTGACCTGTAGCATCTGACCTCATGGGGCCTCTAGCCCCTTTCAATCTGCAGTAAAATGTTCAAAGTGTCCCCAGAGCCTCTGACTGAAGGCCATTGAGGCAGCTCTGTCACCTGGCCCCATCTACCCTTTTCAATTCCTCACTCCTGACCACTGACCTACCTTGTCCCCTGCCAAGCCCTGTCCTTCCACCCAAACCCACCCGCTGACTCATAGTGAGCTTATAGGGCAGGAGGTTCTGGGTAGGACAGGGTATAGGATAAGGTACAAGTGCCCCTGTGAGTTTCCGAGACTACAACCCTTCATGGGAGTAGAAAGCCATGTCTTTCTCCCAAGGAGTGGCTGGTGGTTTCAAACTGCTAACCTTGTGCTTAGCAGCCCAACACATAACCACTATGCCACTGGGGCACCTTCCTTCCACACAGGCACAGAGAGTTACCAAAGCCAGCTCATAGCTGAGCCTGTGTGTCCTGCTTCAGCCCATAGCAGTCCCTGCAGACTTGATGGCAACTCATCAGTGTGATCCCCAGGGGAGCAGACAGAGGGCTGTGGCTCTCAGATTCCTACCTGCTGAGCCAAACCAAACCCGCAGCCAGCACGTGAACTCTGGCTCCTGTGGACCCTGGAGGGCAGCGAAGCAATGCTCAGCAAGGTTTCCAAGGCTGTAATCTCTGCTGAAGTCAACTACCCTGTCTGTCTCCCATGAGACAGCTCCTGGGTTCGAACCCCCAACCTTTCTGTTCAAAAAACCCAGTGTCCTCCTGAGAGAGTCCTCCCTGCCATGGGCTGCCTCTGACGCTAGATGGCGCCAGGGAGGGGACTGCATTTCTAAGCCGCTGGCGGGGCCAGACAGACTCCCGGCCACCAAAGACAGCCTTGCTCTGCTCTATAAAATAAAGGCCCCTTCTCAGGCAGCCATCCAGGCAAAAGGTGAGACAATTATATCAAGGTGTAAATTATATCAACAGGTGCCTGAGGAGGCAACACAAGCAAGGTCCCTGCCAAGATTGCTTCCACACAGAGCCAGATACCGCACATTGCAGTCAGAGAGCTGCCTGCCTGGCTTTGATCTGCTCTCTAAAAAGGAAACTGGGCTGCTGCCCACCCCCAGGACTGCCGGCAAGGGGTGGGGACACGAGGGCGGTACCTGGGGCACCAGCAGCACCTGAGGACCTTTCTGAAGTGCCCTCTGGGATTAAGACTGAGGCCAACTGGAGATCCCCTTGCAGAGGAGTCTGGGGGAGGAGATGAGCCAGTCAGGGTGCGATGTAACAATGATGAGAAATACAACTTTCCTCTAGTTCCTAAAGGTTTCCTCCCCGC